AGCCCCCCACTCGGTGTTTGCCATCGGGATTGGGTTTTGGTCGCTTGGCAACGACGAGGACGTTGTAAAAGAAGCCAATTCACTTCGTGAACTCGGCAACCAGGTTACCGTTTTTTTTTTTACCTCGGTTTTTTTTTTTGGCGGTAACCAAAATGGTGGTGGAGTAGATCATGTTGTGCGGGGTCGAGAACCTCACTCCGCGCAACGGGGGATGATCGCACCACGTTGTGTTAAAATGGTCAAGCTTCCTCGAGGCAGTTACACAGTGCTTACAACTGTCAATGGAAGTGAAAGCACCAGAAAATAAACTAAGTCATACGTAGCTGTCATCCGTACGCAAGGAAGTAAGCCAAGATGCCGAACACCCTTAGCAGGATGCAGCTCACCCTTCATGCGACTCGCCAAATACCTCACGGCGCTTCGCGCTTGGTGATGTGAGAGCCTGGTCCGGTGAGAACCCGGCGTGCTCCGTCCCGGCTTTGTAGGGATGCGAGGTCAATGGTCAAACGACTACGGCATGCACGACTATGAGTACACCCCCCCCCCCCCCTCCAAATGACCCCGAAGCGCCGACTCCTCGGCGGAAAACCCGGGGATACATGAGTATATGTCCCCACCTAACAAAGTTTTTTCACGTGTACCCTTGGGGAGAGAGAGGCTATTATTTCGCCACACCAATGGCCACACCGAGCTTTCTTTCTGGTTAAGCGGTATGATGACCATTTATTGTGTTGTATTCTCTAGCCAAATCAGAAAAATATACGAAGTGAGAAGAGGATTGGGAGAATGCGACGTTCCAAAGGAATAAGAAATGCCTTTTAAGCAATCGGACTACTTCGGCTGGTCCACCGGAATAAGGGATCGAGGCTGACCCGAATTTGACGTTTCTTGTCTGCGGGCCCGTACTGTGCGTTCTCGTGGCTTTCCGCCTGCGTGATGCGTCCAGAGTTGTACCGAAAATTGTGTGGACTGACCCCCAGAATACACTGGGATTACAACAACAGCTATTACTTTAGGCCAATTCTTGTGGGATGTCTGCATTTTGCCTGGAAACCACAAAATCAGGTGGAAATTCCACGACCAACAGAGACCAGCTGCGATTTTTGCAACCCTACCTAATAGACGGTTTCTTCAGCACAGTTTGTTCTGGGTTTAGAATTTGGGGGGAGGAACATCTTCTTAGCCCAAAAACAATATTTGGGCTCCTGTGGAGGAAAATGCCAAACTCTCACAGCCCGGATATTTCCAAGCATTCCGGCCGGCCTGTTGGAAAATTGCCCCATAGTCTAACAGCGATCAGGTGATATTTGCTAGAAATTAAGGGCGTTCTGCGCCGTGTTCGCCGCACATGAGCCGAAAGCGTCAACGCTGCGACATTGCTCTGCTGACGTTCTTGCCTTTCGGCCGAAAAGAGCGGGTTTTGCGCCTGCTGCATGTGTGACCAGTCAAGTGCGAGAGAGGATTTGGGCTTGGACATCCACAAACTGCAGCCAATGGCGTGTGGTCATACACATAACCTCTGCTGGTGTCCCAGAAACAGGGCGTTTTCTCCAGTTTTGATTGCACACGGCCTGCGAACGTGAACCAGAATGTGTTTCGGTGTTGCCTTTTTTGGATGGTGCCGGTTGCTCCGAGTGTTACCAGTCCACAACGTATGCCAGAAAGAGGCCTTTGGCCGACAACATCCACAACTGCAACCAGTAGCATGCAATTATACACATGCCCTCTGCAGGCGACCCACAAGCAAGGCGCTCGGTGTCTTCTTGGTCGCACACAAGCCAAAATCGTGAACTGGAGCGTGTTGTGACCGACAAAGACTTGAAATGGCCTCTGGTTTCCCCTGAGAAAAAATATACCTCGAGGAACCGCAGGAAGGGCGCTTCGATCTGGATCATTTTTCCCGTGCAGACCCCCCCGCCCCCCAAGCAAGAGCAAAAAACAAACATCCGAAAAAAGAGTGCTTAAGGACCAGGCTTTTTGGTCGGAAAAGGAAAAACACTTTGACTCGACAGACCCACCAACTGACGGTTGGTTCCTTTCGAGCCTCCACACACGACATCAACAGCGGCTACAATGTTGAACAGGATCGGGAGGGATACACACACACACACACGTCTACCTCTGCTCAGTGTGGAGCAGCACCACATCTCATCAGCACACAACAATAAGCAAGTAGGCATCGCCGGTATATATACTTGTAAGTGAGAGCATGCAGCAGAGCGATACCTACAATGTTACCTTTCCTCTACGAAACGTGTCCTCTTTGCCTCTCTCCACCAAATATTTGTATGTTTGCGTCCTACTTGTTTGGCGACAGTCCCCCATTTTTCGTGGCGAGACGTACTACACTTTTCGGTGTATTTTTCGTACAACTACAACCATTCAGGGTTACACAGGAAGGGGTAAACGCCGGGGCTTCTTTCTACGTTTTTTTTCGTGCCCCACCTTCCTCCTGCGGTGCGAGCTGAATTTTTTTTTTATCGCGAGAAGGATATGGTGACACATACCTGCACACCAACGCTCGGTGCACGGGCTGCTGCGGTGCAAACGTGCAATTGGTGCCGCGCGGGAGCAATAACGCCTGCACAACGACCTCAAACCCAAATCCCAGCCAACATTTCCCGCTGCGCTTCGGGCTCCAAATCGCAGCGGGCAATGCGATTCCGGGGTCTGCGGTTTGAATTCAAAGTTTTTCGGCAAACAGCAGCACCATCGGGGTTGGTATGTCTTGCCGACTTCACTTCAAACCCAAATCTCAGGCACTGCAGACCTTCAATACGAATTCGTTTCAAGTGTTTTAAATGCAATAGAGTTTGGGTAGCACAATACTTTTTGCCACACCCTGGACCAGCTTTTTCGACATCCTCCCTCTCATCTCAATCCATCCGCCCTCCCACCCCCGTTTTCTTGGCCCTGTTACCCCCCCCCCCCCCCCCCCAAAACCTGGGACCCATACTTCAGAACGGGGATAAACCACCCTCTTGACTGAAAGTACT